TTCTTGAGGTCATGTGATATGTTGCTCCTGAATCAATGAGCCATATATCTGCATATTTCTTTCTACCTTCCACGGTGGTTGACGCTTCACAGCATAGAACATCTCCATCAACTGAAGTGTTTGCGGTATTGCCTTATGGATTGGAGTTTTTATTGAGACTCCAACAATCCTTCTTCAAGTGACCCTTCTTTCCACAGTGGTAGCACTTTAAATTCTTCTTGCTCCTCGACTTCGATCTACCATGTTTATGACTGCTGCTTTGACCATGTTCTGTTGATCTCCCTCTCATCATTGTCAACGCTTCTGCTTGTTGCAGATTTACTTGTTTGTCTTCCTTGTTCTTGCGCCGATTTTCTTTTTGTAGGACAGCAGCTGCAACGTCATCGAAGACTAGACTGGTGACATTACTGTTTGTCAAGTTGATGATGAGTTGATCATACGAATCCAATAGACTTTGAAGTAGAAGTTCAGCACGTTCTTGTTCTCCTATTTTACAGCTTAAGGATGTAAGCTGAGAAAATAAGGTGTTCAGTGTATTTAAGTGCTCCGTCACTGAAATAGATTCTGGCATACGGAGAGTGTACAATTTCCTCTTAAGGAAAATTTTATTGTGCAACGATGTGGCCTCGTACAATTTGGTGAGATGATCCCATATCTCCTTAGCTGTCTTTTTCTCCTTGATGCTTGACAATACTTCATCTGCTAATGCTAGATGAAAGTTTGCCATAGTATTCCCGTCCATCTCGTTCCATTTGATGTCATCTGCGAAATCCATCGGCCTTTCATTGATAGCCGCTAGACACCCGTCTTTCCTTAGGATGGCCTTCATCTTTAATATCCACAATGAGAAATTTCTCCCAATGAACTTTTCAATGTCAAATTTTGTTTCCATAGCTTCTATTATTGATAGCTCCCACTATTTCACTATCGTGAATAGTTCTCTAGAACCTCAAAGAATGGGTAATACCTTCTTATTTTCTTATGTTGGAGGATCCACCTTTTGGTGGCAACCACAAAGATAATAAGCAGATATTACACACTCAAATCTGGCTCGGATACCAATTGTTACGAAAGACGGCTATCGGATAGAGCAAAATCGCAACTGATAATTTGAGAAAATAAAAATTAAGATAAAAGAGACACAAAATTTACGTAGAAAACCCCTAAAAATTTAGGGTAAAAACCACGGGCAACGGTAGAAGAATTTCACTATGAGAAAATAGGAATTACAACCTCTCTCGATCTATCAAGGAGAAAACAATGATAATTCTCTCTTGATAAAAAGGAGAAAACAACTCTAAAGAAACTCTCTAAATTCTCTCTAGTATTGGAAGAAAGCTAGAATGCTTTGGGATGGTTTTGAAGCTAAATGAGCTAGGGTATTTATAGTTGAAACCTAAGGACTAATCTTGTAAATACCCTAAAGTACAATGATTAAATGTTGTAATTATCCCTTGCATAATTCAACAAAAAATAATAATTAAAAACAAACTATTATTTTCAACATGTATAAATAACGAACGCATGTATTAAACCTTGCATAAATGTACATTAAGGATCATTTCAACAATTATATGAAGGATAGTAAGTGATGCATCATTCGAAGCTATATTTTTTAGTGTTGCTCTCTTTACCATCTTTAGAATTATCCCAACACTTTTTGACTGTGTAATGTGAACTCCATGCTAAATGGTCTTACTTTTCTTAATCATTTTACAGCTGTTTTTGATGATTACCTTCCTCCATTATATTATAAAATTATTGATTATTAACCCCTTTTGTGATAGAATTGCTCGATTGTGTGGAAAATAAGTAAAGGAGGCTGCTTTTTGTTACCCACAGAATGTAGCTTTTTTTCCCCATTTGTGTTTCTTCTGTTTTGAGGATAATAATTTAATAGCACCCAATGGATTATTTTAATGTTGGAGATGATCATGCTCTGGAAGCCATACGCCTAAAGTACCTCAAATGCATTGGACGGAATGTTGAACTTGGCTTTTAGAACTTGCATGATATGTTGCCCATATAATGTCGCTTTTTTCCCATTTGTGTTTCTTCTGTTTTGAGGATAATAATTGAATAACACCCAATGGATTATTTTAATGTTGGAGATGATCATGCTCTGGAAGCCATACGCCTAAAGTACCTCAAATGCATTGGACGGAATGTTGAACTTGGTTTTTTAGAACTTGCATGATATGTTGCCCGTATAATGCTGCTTTTTTTTCCAGGTGTGTTTCTTCTGTTTTTAGCAATATCAATGAACCCAAGTTAGAGGTCTCGAGTTCGAGCACGATGTACGTAGAGATGTTTGAACGTTTATTATTAAATGATTGAAAATATTTCTCAGTACTAATTAAAAAATCAATATCAATGAAGCGTTAAAATGCCTTTATTTGAAAGAAGCAGACAATAGCAGGGTCATGGGAAAAGGGGTTTTCGAAAGTTTTGAGTGATAGAAGATTCTTTTATCAGCTGTATAGAAGGATAGAGTTGTAGGAAAGATCGAAGAAGTTTCTTAGTACAAATGATTGTGACTTTGAATATACAATAAGAACACCTTCTTTAATAGAAATGAGGAGTACATATTCCTCTCAGCTTTTTCATTTTCTACGCCTGTAATAATTTAAGAAATGAGAATAGCTACCGAAATATATGACCTACATTTAGCTTCAACAGTAAAGATGCGTCACTAAAAGCATTATGATGTGCCCACTTTACAGTGAGTCTCCGTCGTGTAAACATCAAACTATTCGCGGAGACGTATGTTCTTAAATATTATCAGTGAAGACTATTAAATTTTGAACAAATCAATGATTAAAATGAAGAAGGATTTTAAAGAAATCATCCCATATCGAATATAAGGATAGTGTTTGACTCCCTTGTTTCTGGTAATCCAATGATCAGTTGCCTCGTGAATTTAAGAATATATTCATCCACACACACTTGCGTTTGAAAAAGAAATCGTCTTTCAACTTGTAGTATGCATGCTTGGGGAGATCTTTCAGTGATGGAACATTATAGTTTTAAAATAGCAATGCAGTACGCATGCTTGGTTGTCTGTGAAAAGATATCATTATAAATAGTGTTATTTCGGCAACAAACAACACTGGAACTTTCAAGTCACACTGAAAGACGATAATAACTCCATGAATCTCATACGCAAACAAAAGATCTTGCTAGGATCGAAAATGTTTTGTTTTTCCGGTATGGATTATGCAAGTCGATCCAAATGTTTGTCTTTTGTATCCAACTTATTAAGTTTGACTTTGACCATGGTTTTCTCTCTCCGTTGGCATTGCTCGATTTTATACTAAATGCGTTTGTTGTCATATTACATCAATTTCGATGTGTTTTTGGTGTACTTGCAGTTTTGTTATATGATCCCTTCCCACCACCTCACATATTATCATCATTTTTCACCTCTAGATTCTTCATCTTTAACATCTTTCAACTTAAGAAAATGCTGAAAAAATTCAGATCAAGAACAGAAACATGAGTCGATAAATCTAAGAAAATAAAAACGGGAATGAAAATGTCGATAGAGATCATCAATTAAGAAAAAGGACATTCAAAATCAAATAATATTGAATTATGTCCGATCAATCACAAAAAGGCAAAGGCTCGAATGAAAATTTATGCAAATAATTCAAGTGAGAATCCCAGGGAGAAGTAATTGTTTAAAAGTTTTGCAGCAAAAATGTCATTCTTCTGCAGGCCAACATTTTCATTTTTCTGGATTCGTTGACCCATGCTTCTGCTCCTCGTTTTACTTTCTCTTCCTTTATCCTTTTGTTTCAGCAGTAATTATAAGATTTTTCCGCGGTATAAATACTAGAAGAAATGTTTGTGGTTAAACGTTTCAGATAAAAATTTCCCAGCATTTTCTTCAGTTGAAAACGGATAGAGGTGAATAAAGAGAACAAGACTTTTCAAATATGAGGTGAAAATAATTGATGATATAATTGGATATGTTCATATAATAGATTCTCCTTAAATAGGCTCAATTTCTTAAAAAAATGGCTTAGGTATATCATATATTTTTTTAATTATATCAATTTTATTCTTTGATTGGAGTTGACTGTTATGACATCGATGTAGCCGTTAACGGTATTAATGTGACGATCCATTTCGTTGATGTAGCATACATATAAAAAAATAACATGACAAACGAAATAATTAATTTTTTTTATCGAGTTTAAGGGTATAGTTGATTTTTTGACCAATTAAAAAAATTATAATTGATTTCAATTAAAAGTTTACAAGTTTATTAAGTTTTATTTAAGAAATTATTAAAATTTTGAAAATAACGAGAGTATTAAAATATTTATAAAAATTAAAAAATAAAAGCAATATAAAAATTTAAAATAAATAAATAAAATTTAGAAAGCATAAAATTTATAAATATAAAAGATTTTTAAATATATTTATAAAATAAATTATCCAAAAATTCTTGATTATCTTTCAGTCTTGGTTCAAACTTGAATTCTTTTTTAGAAAAGGTAAATTACATGATTGGTCATTTTCATTTAAATTTTGTATATTTTTTCACTGAATTAAAAAAAAAGTAACATTTGGTCAATTTCGTTTTTATTTAATTAAAATATGATCATGTTCGTTTTATTTAATTAAGATCTGGTCACTCACCTTATCAACTTTTAAATGTTTTTTAAAATATCTTTAGTAAGAAAAAGTGAGAAAATTAAATAAAAGTGATAATGTCTTAATTAAATAAAAAGCAGATTGGGGCGGACAATCACATCTTTAAGGCTGCGACTATATGAACCCAAAAACTGGCAGGGCTTTCGATCAATATGGCCATCAAAACCCAACCCACCTAAAGTAGGCAAAGCTTTTGTCTGCTCATCAAATCCACTGTTTTTGGTAGCCGGTTTCAAGCAACCCGTTGTAGTTTCTTTTTCATAACTTGTAAAACATGAGTTATGACCAAATGAATGATTAGAATCTCCATTTTACATGCAATGATTGAACTTCACCAATTCAACTTAACAAAACCGAAGATCAGCTTATGTTTAACAACGTAATGTGTTCTCGCATGTACATCAAATTTATTCGATTTTCTCTTCACCATCATCATATGGCTTCAGCTTCCATGCATACAATTTATCTGTTTTTACAAATACCGCACACTTTAAACCAAAACTATATCTAAAACAGTAGAAGGGTTTACACCGGAAGAATTGGGTTCATGCTCCGGTAAAGTTTGGATGACGAGAAAAACCTCCCACCACACGAGAACGATCTTTTCATTGGAACCGGGCTTAAACGAAGGTGCTGGGAAATGGAGGAATTTTCCATTACCCTAAACTCGCTCCACTTCACCTCCTCTTTGGTTGCACTGATGCCTGAATCTAGGTTTTCAACATCCTCTTGAATTCCCAGAAACAAACTTGCAGCTGATGAAGAAGAATCCATGGAAACGCACCTTTTGATCTGTGTTATCTCGTTAGCCTCAACATGGCTTCTTCCAATGCAATCCTTGGAAACCCTTTGGTCATTAGCCTCTGCTAAATCACTTTCAGCTCTGCCTTCATTGATCCCTACATTCTCAGAACTTCCCATCTGATTATCAACAATTACATTCACATTAGCAGAATCTTGATCCGCTGGAGTACCACACAAGGCATCGAAGACGATTTGTGCTCGGCACAAAGGACAGTTAGTGTGAGCCCTCAGCCAAGTATCGATACACGAAATGTGAAACGCATGGTTGCATTTAGGCAACAACCTCACCCTCTCATCTTCTTGGAACTCATTCAAACACACTGAACATTCCGTCCCATCGATCAATCCCTCACCCTTCTTGTACTTACAAACAGTGATCGAATTTATGATCGATTGTTGCAAACCAACGGTTGTGATGAACCAAATAGGATGATCCACTCTATTCTCATCGAGCAACTCTTGTTCCCAAGTATCAGTTTGAGTTGGTGACTGCCTGTTATTCCTCCAGCGCCACCAACCAAAACATGACTTCACTATAACGACGTAGTAGCCGATAAGAAGGATGAGACCGGCCACCACTGAAACAAAGACGATCACATAAGGTAAGATGTGATGGTTTTCCACCGAGAAGGGAGGAGGCGGTGGCGGAGGTGGCGGCAGGTAATAGTAGTCAGGGTAAGGGTAACAGTTGTACGGGCAGGCAGGGCCACAGAAATCAGGGCAGCCTATGGTTTCGTTTGTTTCGGTCAAGGCCGGGAAAAGCCTTCTGGTTTTCATTGCTATATGACGAGATAATTGGAGAAAAAAGATGAAAGAAATGAAGGCTCTAATTACCTCTAAACTTCTTCTTTTTTTTTGGATCTGAAGAGTAGAAATGAAGAAAATCAATTAACATGTCTCTTTCAAGGTTTAGTGAAGAGTAAAGACAGATTTACATGTATGGGATGTGTTTGGTTGTGTTTACCAATCGGTATTAATTGAAGTTTTATTTTTAAATTAAATATATGATTATTAAATTACCGCGTATTAAAATTTAAGAAATCTATGAATATTGTTATGGATTAGATATTAATTTTTAAATCCGTCAGGTAGAGGGGTCAAATTTCTAAAAGTAAAAGTAATTGAATTAAATTTCAAAATATCAAAGAGTGTAGGGACTGAAATCATGATTAAACCCTTTATTTTACCATGTTAGAAAAGCTACGTATTACAGTCTTGACTCGTTTTATTTCCATATAAATACAATACACTTTTACTACGTATTGCCTAAAGAATATGTACATAATCAAACGATTTTAGTTGTAAAATAATTGTTATTTTTCTTTTTGAGGTTCCAAGTTTGAATATTATAGATGCCAGAAATATAAAATTTTATTATTAAATGATTATGAGTCATCTTTAAATAGATATTCTCTGTATTTACCATAAATTACTAAAAAAAAATTATGCTACTGTAAACTACGAGATTGGGACATTTTATTACTCTAAAGAGGGATAAAATCTTCCCCAATATTGCAATTTTTTGGTGGCCGGTCGTAATCATGATGGTAATGTTGAATTTTAGATTTGAGTGGATTTTAAGAAGTTTTCAACCATACCTCTGGTCAGGTTGCCCTAAGGTCATAGTTAGGGGAGGGATACTGTGTGCTTGACGAGTAAAATGGACCTCATACCTGCTAACATTTTCTCTCTTCTTAATCACCTCAAATTCAACATTAAAAATTTTGTTAGGTTGAATGAAAAATGGAAGGAAAAAATTTTGAATTCTGAGTGTGTTTGATAGTAAATAAAAATGAGAAAAAAGAAAATTAGAATGATGACAACTTTTTATTATTATGTAAAACAAATAATTCATTCTAATTTAGAAGAAAAAGATAAGAGAGATACGGGAACTTGATCGGATGGCAAGCATGCAGTGATTAAAACAAGGGGTAAAGTAAAATCTAGTCCTTTCATTTATTAACTATTACTAATATGATTGTCGAATACTTTCTTTGTCAATATTAGTGTCAGAATGTGATAATACTTTTTAATTTACTCCTTACAATCGAGTTCTCAATCCGTATCACTATTACGTTATGTTATGATATCACTTAAAATGTTTGAATATATATTTTATTTTAATGATAAAGTGTCACACTATCGAAAAACTAAAATTTAAAATTAAGAATAAAGTTAAGACAACTTACCAACATTGAGACTAATATGGACGAAAAATAAATCAATGACTAAATTAGGAGGAGTAAGAAGATGCTTTGTCACGAAGGATTTTTAATCAAACAAGCCCAATGATTTAAACTATATTTTCAGGGGTGGATAATGATGAAATATTAGATAAATTATTTATCTAATCATTTATTTACTTTTATATTTTTATTATTTAATTATTTTTATTTAAAATTATATTTATTTACTTATTTACCCTGACTTACTAATAACTGGAAAATGTTTTGTTATATACATTTTAATTACACTAAAGTAAAATGACCTTTTTAAGTATTAATCCTTTATCTTTTGCCACTAATGGGTCACTGGAATGAAAAAAGACGAAAACGTCATAATCTACTTAGAGATTGCTTATGAAACAAAATCAAAGACCAAACACACATTATGGAATATGAAATTTTGAAGAATATAAGAGAATTCGACGTATAGACAGCGAATATCATTTGTCGTGTCCGTCTTTCAAGTGGGTTCAGAATTAAACTTTGACTTAAAAAAATAGGTTAGAGTCATCACCGATCACTTTAAAAGTATTTAGGTGGATCAGACACCATCTTACCTGTCGGAACCGTCTTTCGAGTGGGATCTGGAATTGGGCTTCGACTTAGGAAAAATGATTTGGAGTCGCCACCGATCACTTTAAAACGAAATTTAGGTAGATCGGACATCATCTTACCTAATCTGCGTTATACTAGAAATGTGTCGGGTTCGGGAGTCGGTTACGGTCAAGGAAGGATTAGCACCCTTAAACCGTCCTTTCGGTATCAATTAATTTACCGGTTGTCTTTAATTGCGAAAATTAAAAACTTAAATTAGAATTTAAAAACTCGATTCGAATTACTTACCTTTGATCAGTTGGAATTCTTCTAAAAAGGTCGAAAAGGTTAGATAAAAAAATAAATATTAAAAAATAATAATAAAATTATCTAAAATAATAAATCAGATGAGAATAAATAATAAATAAATAAATAATGCATAAAAACAAAAACAAAAACAAAAACAATAAAATAATAAATTTAAGGGACGTAAGATAAAAGAACAAAAAAAAACAAAAAATATAATAATAATAATAAAAGAAAATTGTTAAATAAAATGAAAAAAATACGAAAAAATAGTTTAAAAATGAAAAAAATAGAAAACCCAACAAAAAGGGAAAAAAGAAATGAAATAAAAAGTTAAAAAATAAAATAAAATAAGGGTCGAGACTGAATGATAATTAAACCTAAACTAGACAGTGGCTAAACTGGAATATTTACAAATAACATATCAGAATTCAGGTAACATCAAACACACGTCATATGTTAAATTAATGACTAAAAATGAAATCAATAAAACATTGTGACCAAAATAAAAGAAAAATAAAACTAATTAAATGGTTTTACACAAAAGCTTCAATGTGTGAGGGGTCTAAGGTGTGGTTATACCACACGTCAAAATGCTGAACCCTTCCCCAATAATACGACGTCGTTCTAATTTGCCAAATAAATGGCCCCAGAGAAACCCCTGTGTGCAGAGATTATATTTGAAACAAACCTTTCCTTCTTCTTGTGCAATGGGTGGAGTTAGTTTCACGCTTCGTTTTCAAGTGGCAAGTGTTCGCTTTCATTCTAAGTTTCTATTTAATATCTTTGCCGAAGCCCACCACCACGCCTCGTTCGATTCTTCTTTTCTCAAGGCAGGTATTTCAAACTTTATTTGGAACTATTCGAACGACACTCCGATTTTTGCTCTTGATGGTTTCTTTTTTGCTGTTCGAATCTGTTTGAGTTCGAATCCTTGATCATTTCTCTAGTTTTCCTCGTTCCCGTATTTTCCAGTGTTTACAGGTACATCTCTCTGGTATTTTTTTGCGTGATTTTTTTGCCTCCAGTAATTGTGTATTTGCTTTCTATTTTGTGTATCATAATCTGTTCATTTCAGTGTACGTTTACATCAATTTATAGGAACGAAAATCCTATTTTTAGACTCTAGTGTTTGAGTCCTAATCAAACTGTTTTTGTTGTTTGTTGGTGATGGGTTATTGTCGAGGAAACCGCCGAACAGTTCAGGATTTGATCGGGACAAGCGGCTGGTTGAGGGGTCTTCCAAAACGGCGCCGATGATTTTAAAAGAACAACCCTAATCTACAACAGGTTGGTTCAGGCTCCCGGGTTACTTTGTTGGGTCTGCTCCAGATGGGTCACGGGTTTCAGGCCATCAACGGGTTTCTACAGCTTGGCCTTTTGGGTTTGTGAATATCGGGTCTGAAAAAAACATAAGGAAATAATAAGTGTGTGTATGTGTAATAAAATAATGTGTATATTAATATAACATATATATATGCTACGTAATATGTAATGACATGGTATATATATATTATATAATTATAGTACCCCACATTCTATTACACGTATGATACCATTATAACATAAGGATGAAAATGTGTGTCTACAGCTGTCCCTCTTTGTCCTTTTTCGTGGAACGAAAAATAGGGCAAAGATAAAATGACATAAATTTTCGTTTGATGGAGTTGAAAATTGATTTCAATTAAGAATAACTCCCTGTCGAATTGAGTTGTGGATGACTCCTCCGTCGAGAAGTTGAGTATATCCTGAGATGGAATTGAAGTCGTGGTTTGGAATTTGAATGTGGCTTCTCGTTGCCAAATTATAGTCAGCTTCGGTCTTCTTCTTGGTTTAAAGACCTTGGTTTAAAAATCTGACTGGAAAGTAATTCTTTAATTCCACCATGTGGTTGACAGGCCCTCGAGCTGAATGAAACAGAACTTGAAAGGCCTTTGTGTTTCAAGAGAAACATTTTCAAAGGTTTTTCTTTTTTCAAGAGAAATGATTTCAAAGGTTTTTTGTGTTTCAAGAGAAACGATTTCAAAGGATTTTTTGTGTTTCAAGAAAACGATCTCAAGGCAGGCAAAATTTTGTTTCAAGAGAAACATATTCAAAGATTGGTGTTTCAAGAGAAACTGTCTCAAGAGAGACGAAATTTGTTTAAAGGAAAACAAATTCAAAGATTTTGTTTCAAGGGTAACCGTCTCAAGAGAGACAAAATTTGTTTTAAAAGAAACTGTCTCAAGGGAGACGAAATTTGTTTTAAGGAAAACAGATTCAAAGATTTTGTTTCAAGGGAAACTGTCTCAAGAGAGACAAAATTTGTTTTAAGAGAAAATGTCTCAAGAGAGAAAATTTGTTTTAAGATAAACTGTCTCAAGAGATACAAAACTTTGTTTCAAAGTTTTTGTTTCAAGGGAAACCGTCTCAAGAGAGACAAAATTTGTTTTAAGAGAAAATGTCTCAAGAGAGATAAAATTTGTTTTAAGAGAAACTGTCTCAAGAGAGACAAAACTTTGTTTTGAGTAAATTAGTCTTGAGCGAGGCGATCCCTTGTTTCGAGAGAAACAACCTCAAAGGCGATCGATAATCTGCTTGTTCATGCATGTTAAAGAAATCCTTTCAGAAGCTTTAATCGTTGACTTAAGGAAGTCAAATCTGCGGATGGCATGTTTGTTGTGACACTAGATCACCTCATCGGACACGATATCCTTCTTCGTGAAGTTGAAATCCTGGATGACTCATTCGCTGTGAAATTGAGCTTTTAATTGGATGTTCTTCGTTGTGAAGTTCA